GTATAGTACAAAATGAGATACACAGTGCATGCAATTTAGAATGTAATCTGATACATAATATGACATGACAAGACATGCAAAGACACAACATAATATAGTTAAATATAACATAGCAGAAATGACAGCAATAGACAGTGCGAGTGCGAGTTCGTGGTTTTGAGGATGGGCCTTTGGCGTCGGTGGCGTTTCGGACCGTTGTTTCTGAGCTTCGAATCTGTGTTTCCTGTCGCGAGGTACAAGGCAAGCCCGTTGGAGATCGCCAAGGCCGTGCCGCGTCTCCACAAGCGGGCCGAGGTGCCCACACAGTTTTGTGGTGTGGGGTTTGGAGTTTTCCGCTCAAGTCTAGGATAAAAGAATCGAGAGCCGCGTTAACAAGAGCAATGCAGATGGCACAAAGCCAGGATCAGTTCCATCAGTTTCGCACTCAGCAGAACAGCCCTCCCCAACCTGAAAAACGCAAGCTGCGTCGACCCTTAGACCTGCCAAGCCACTTTAGCCCTCGACTGTCATCCCCCACCCTCAAAAGAGCATAAGGCAGTTATACTGCACATCACTAATGTGAATGCCTGTGCTCCTGAACTCTGCAACCCCGAACCAAAACCAAAGTAGTCTGAATCATTAGAGAGAGTATGCATGCTAAATGCAATCATAGTAATACTCGCAAGAAGAGTGATAGCACGGGGTAACAACACTGTTTAGCCCAAAAGGCTGCGCGAAACCATCCCCGAAGCCCCGAGCCCGAAGCCAAAATCACCAAAAGCCCCCCTAAACCACGATGTCCCACTTCTGAACCCCGGATCCGACCCCTAAACGCCACATACACTTCAAATTCTGAGCTCCCCGAAACCCTATACCGTAGATTCGTGAGCAAAAATACCGTAAGCCCCTAGTTAGCCCGAGTTGGCCTCCACCGCACCTGTGAAACCGTCTTCAACTGTTACTTCGGAGATACCCTGGAATGCGGGCTCGTCCTCGCGGGCTCGGAGGGAAAAATAAGCCTGACGAGCCACAGACACAGGAGCTTGCGGAGCATCACTTGGCTCGAGGTCGCCAAGCTTCCCAGGGCTCCAATAGAGGGGCTTCAATAATCAGAATAGGCTTCCTTTAAAGGGGCCGATAAGGTTTAGTTTACTAAAAGGGATCTAAAAGGGTACTAAAATATAGGGGCTTCAAATATTTAGACTAGGGCTCCTTTAAAGGGGTCTACAAGGGCTACTGTAAGGATATACCGTAGGGGCCTCAATAACTACCAATATTGTTTTGCGGGTTCCTTATAATAATTGTAGTATGATGGGCCCCAAAACCCTATTCTAATCATTAAGGCCCCTATATTAAACAGCTTCTCCCAGGAGACGAGCTGTTTGGGTTTCAGGGTTTAGGGTGGTAGGGTTGAGGGGAGAAGTTGGGGCCTTTGGCAGGGGTTCAAGGCGTTTGTGTTTAGGTGGCGTTTCACATTTCAGGTCCTACAAACGTTGGGATTCTGGGAGTGTAGGGATTCGTGTTTGTGTTGAGCTGCTGCCAAGACTTGAGGATAGTAGTTGTAGGGTCTTCTGGTTTCAAGACTCGGAGCCAGCAGACTGCGAGTCGGGGCCGTCCGTCTTGCGTAAAGGTGTGAACGCCATCAGCCCTCACACCGTAAGCTTGAGGCCGTGTTTGCAACCAGTCTTTTCTCCTCCTGCAGTATACGCCGATTAAACTAACCTGTTTGCATGTCCTCAACATAACTAAAAACTCTTGAGGCCTGCACTCCTCAAATCCCCGGACTGAGAAGTCCGCAAACCTAACCTCCACATTGCAAGTGATGATGCTGATGCCCTAAACTATATTATAGTCTCCGTAGGAAATCTTTTTCCTTTTGTTCACATAAACCTCAAGAGAACATTAACAATCATATTGTGTTTATTATGGTTCTACGGGGGTATAGTAATCTGAGAAGCCTCGCCGTGTTTCCCTAACCTTGAAGCCCGGCCCGAAGCCCAGAATTGCAATCCTGTTGCCTCGAACCCACATCCTCTAAGACAGGGGCCTTAATGATTACCTGTACTATTTTTGGGGGTTCCTTTTCATAGCAATGGTATAATATGGGCCCGAAAGCCCTATTCTTAAGGCCCCTAAATTAGCCGCTCTGTCTGTGTGAAAGGTCGCGAGTCGATTGTCGGTGAAGGCAAGCTGCTCCCTGCAGAGGCACGTGCCGGGTGTGAAAAGCACCTCAAGAGTATGGGTATGTGGTCCTCTCTCTTTATACAGTACACTGAATAACTAAATAAACATGGCAACATATGAACAAAGAGAAACAAGTTGAAATGACGAAACACACCCTGGATTCTCCTGAGTTGAGACCATGCATGGAAAGGATTTTTGGTGTTAACGTCCAGAAAAGTACAGTACCAGCGACCATGCTCTGCATTCCTTCCACCGGTTGGCGCACCCTTTGTTGCTACTCGAGGCCTAAGCTCAGAAAACTAACAGTCTAACATGAGGGACAACCGACCTCCAACCTTCGGATCCTGCAGCTCGGTTATGGCTCTTCGGAGCTTTGCGGGCATCGTGTGAACGCCGGAGGTTTAAGCCACGAGGATATTCTGGAAAAGCTGCCCGGAACACGAATGGCCATGGCCCCAAACACTTACACCTACTGTAAAGAGATAGTGAGAGACATGATAGATCACGATACCTGGACTGAACATACTGTAAGAGTCCTGGCCAACACTCCAGGAGGCTCACGGCGCCAGCGACGAGCAGCTGAAGAGCAAGCTGTGCCTCGCTTTGTGTTCATTTCGGCCCGGGCTGCCTCGCGCAGTCCAAGCACTCCAGCACCCGAAGCCCGAAGCTGCCCACCGAGCCTCCTGCAAGAAGAAGTCTGGAAACCAGCCTATACTGACTGATCACATGTTGTCCGGGTTGTGTTGTGCATCCCTGTTGTCCGATACATGTTTGCGCAGGTTGGAGCTTTTCGAGCGTTACCTGCAGAAGATGCTCAGCCGCGTCATTACGCCTCTGGATACTTTCACGAAGCCACCGGAGGCCTTCGGCTGCTCCTGGGCCCGGCAGCTGGTGTCGCACCGGGCGGCCACTTGGAAGCATGGCGATTGACAGTGGCTTGTGCGGCGGAATTGGCAGGTAATCATGGTCAGGAGTCAGACGAAAAGAATTGCAAATGGACACCCACGTCTCACCCTGTATGTCGTCTGATCAATTCTGCGGCACCTCCTGTGTGCTCTTCTAGTCTGCGGCTCGGCTGAGGTCACCGAGCTCTGGGGCCCCCGCGGGACAGCCAGGCAAATCCCTGCTGGGGAAGACTGGCTGAGCCTGGGCGTGGGCGTTACCGTCCTCGACAACACGGTGGACAAGGACCTCGTTGCAAAGGCACGCCTGGAGTTGGCAGCTTTGGAAGATGCCGGGCAGGTGACTCCGTCCAAGGACCCGTGCAACGTTGGAGCTCGCTCTGTGTGGCTTCACTTCGAGAGCCCAGAAGAGACGCTGCAGGCACCCCCAGCTTTGCGCTCGCTCTGCCAGCAGCTGCTTGGCCTGCCGGATGCCCTGCTCCGTGTGGCCAAGGCCGTCGCAGCTCCGAGGCTAAGGGTGCACCCGCACATCATGGCAGCTACCTACCGCCGAGGGGCAGAGTACCACTGCCACAAAGACAGTTACAGCGGCACGGACAATCAGCGCATGGTCACCGTCCTTCTCTACTTGAATGATGACTGGCGACCGGGCGATGGTGGTGAGCTGCGGGTTTATGGTGAAAGGCTGGACGAAGAAGCCGCTCAAGGGCCGGAGGGCTTGCGGAAGGAAGCCGCCAGCATGTTCCTCGCTGCAGTTGCTCCTGGCTCTTTCCCTTTTGCGTACTACTGTTCTTCAGTAGTGAAACTCTAAAAAGACTGGCTTTTCTTCCGTGCTGACCCGAGAACAGCAAAGGCCTGACATGGACAGGTTTGTCGACATCGCACCCCTAAGCGGGCGCATTGTCATGTTCCGCTCCCGCGATGTCTGGCATGCGGTTCGTGAGCCTCGAGAGCAACGATGGGCCATGACTCTTTGGGTCATGGCAGATTAGGAGTAGGAACACCGGCCGTGATGCCCGCAGAATGTGGCAGGCAATGACAAGCCACACATTCCAGACAAGATTTGCAAGGAGGTCTGAGGTTTGCAAAGTTCTTCCTGCCACTGCTTGTTGAGCATCCTCGGTCTTCTGTTTCAGCGGCGGTTGCTGCTGTTCCAACTCGGCCGTGATTTGTCATGGAGGATCCGGTGAAACCTTCGTTGAGACCGCGGAAGCTTTTCACTTCGTCACAGCTTAGTTGGCTTCGCACTAGCTGCTCAGAGTAGGGATTGGTTCAATCTTGCACTATTTGGCATGTCAGAACCGTTGTTGAACATGATGCTTCTTCCAAGGCTGTGGCTGCCCAGACCTCAGTATGCACTCGGTGAGTCAGATGTGGGAGTTGCAGGCGCAGTCAAACTCCCCTTACAAACCACGAAAATACGACGTAAAGCTTTCAGGATTAACCGCAAACCCTGTAAGCCCTAGGACAGGTTCCAGCCGCACAAAACCCAGAAGCCCTTACCTCTTAATCCCCTATCCATCCCAGCCTCGCATCTCTTACAAGCATATGTCCTGAGAAAAATCCCTATAGTGCTCGCAAGGCCTGTCAGCAAATCCGAATAAAGCCCAAAGCAGCTACTGTAGCCCTAAAACTTAAACCGGTTTTGCACACCTGCCAGTACCCTTTATTTAGCAAGTCTTTTACTTGCCCTTGTAGTCATCCTACTCGAAACCCTTACCGAATCCCAAAGCCCCACAACAGTTCGTTGCCCAGAGACTCCAATATCCTTTAAATCAGGACTAGACCTTAAATTACAGTAGCATCCCTAATCTGATTTAGGGTGTATTCCCCAACTCATTCAGGGATATGGGAGTCTCCTAAACCCTAAACCTTATCGATCCCTTATAGATCCCTTAAAGGAAACCTAGGCATATTCCTTAATTAAGGGATATTATGGGAGTCTTCTGGGGTGGAACTGCTGAGGTGCTTCTGCTTGGCCCGGGCAAAGCTGCCCTGGGCCTTCTCAGGAGGCCTTCTGGGTGTCTGCTCCTCGTAAAGTGCTTTCAAACTGGTTTGCAGATGTTGTTTAAAAGGTTTTGCGCCAGTTTTGTAGGGTTGTATGTTGGGTTTGTTGCAACTACTAGCGGATCTCAAGGGTGGAAATGCAGCACACTGCTTTTCACGTTTTTGCAGTGATGCTTTACAGTTGCTAGCTAGCCACAGACCAGGTTCGGCCAAGAAGTATTTTTGCAGATGTTTGTGCTCGGGTTTTGCAGCTCGGATTTGGGATCGTGGCTGGGTTGCGGACCCGAGCCACCAGGACCAATCTGCAAAAACCTGGAGTTCTTCGGCGGGTTTTTCTGGGCACCTTACCTCTGTGCAAGAGCCTTAGGCTTCCACAGATTTTTTGCATACTGATGCTGTGGGCTCGGGTCGGGGCGGGTGGGCCGAGGACCCCGAATCTGTGAAACACCCAGAGATTTTTGCAGTTTTGTTGCAGCTCCAAATCTGCAAAACAAATGCAAAAAGCCGCAACCATGCCGCAACCCCGAAACCGAGCTGTAAAAGCCAACCGCAAAATATGTGCAACACTTCTGCAAAAATAGATATTTCGGCTCCATAGTAGTTCCTTTTCGGGGTTCATATTTAGACTCCTATAAGGTACTCCCAAAAAGAACCTACTATGGAGCCTTTGGGTAGCCGCTTGCTGTCAGCTTGGAGCGGCAAGCGGCTTCGAAGCGGCAGCCGAAGGGCTGGGAGCTACAGGAGCACAAGGTGCCAGGGATTTTGGGAGTTGGGGGTGTTAGGGTTTGCGGAGCACGGGTGTGGCCGGCATAGAGCCTGGGTTCAAACTAAAGCGGGTGTGGCCGGCTTATGGAGGCACTTCAGAGAGACCTCGTTCAAGAAAGGTGTTAAGCTTTCAGCTCTGTGGGGTTGAACGGTGTTCACTACTGCAGCTGCCAGGGCTGTAATGCACTGCACTACGATATGGCGAAAATAGAGTCCTGACACGCAAGTGGTGCCCCTTCAGGCCCAGCACACACTTACAGACGACGACGAAGAGAGATCCCAAAGGTTGGAGGGCAAGGACGTGCGGTTTAGTACATTGGCCGAAGACTAGAGACTGGATCGTTCGCATATAGGCATAGGCCCTAGGGTTGAGCGCTGGACATGGGGCGGCCGCATTGTCACGAGCCAGAGGGTGCCCTCAGAAGCCGTTTCAGCATTCGTCAACCTGCGAGCAACTGATGGGCCTGAATTCCGGGGGTTTGGCCATGGGGGTGTCTGGTTTTCTTCTGAGTTTCAGAGATGCCGAAACAGCTGGGTATGTCGTCTTGATTAGCACACCTCCCGACTGTGTGTACCAGTGTAAGGCGGCAAGTGCTCGGTCGCATCGGGCGCAAGTAGCGGAGAACACCGCAGATTGGACCATGCGGCTCGAAGTCACCAGACGGATGAGTCCTGCAAGCAAACGAGAAGCGATATTTTTGGTGCATGTTCGAGAGATCCCCCGAAGAGAGCCGTCTTCTCAGATCCTGTCAGTCATTCCTCAGCCCTTCCGCTTCCTCGAACCAATGGAAGCTGGCTACGGGGCTGCCCTATCAGCCCAGAGTCCCTGCTGCACTGATCCGCAGTGGCAACTGCAGAGCAGGCAGTGTCCGCATGGAGGGTCGGTCGGAGCAGGCCGATAACCTTTGATCTGTGTGTGTGTGGGGTCATGAAGGAATGTAATATCTTCTTGTACTATAGGGGCCTTAATAATCGCCTATACTAATGTGGGGGGTTCCTTAAATAATTATAGTATACTAACCCCAAAACCTCATTCTAATTCCAATTATTCAGGCCCCTGTACTCTAGTACCCTTGTGTAGATCCCTGAAAGTAACCCAAATAGACCCTCTTTAAAGGAACCCTATTCTAATTATTAAGCCCCTGTATTAGCATCCTGCCGGTATTTATCCTGATGAGTCTCTCCGTGCAAGCAACGGCAAGGGACTCGAACAGACTCTAACATTCGTCTGTCTGGTTCTTAATCGGGAATGGGGGGTTGGGTTATGGGGACTAATATGATTATTGGGGATTATATAGGGGCTACTATAGACTAAGCACCAGGGAGTGTTCGGATTCATCGCAATGCAATATCAGGAACAGTCGAGCCGCCCCTTTTACCGACTCCACTAACGGACGAGTCGTTCCCATCCGAATAGAGGTGAGCATTGTTGCGTTGTGGCAGAGCCCCCTGAAGACCTCGAGCAATGTACCCACAGCGCTATACATACAGTAGGCCCTACATGGAGCATCCATGCTATTCGATTCGAACCCCTCGCCGAGGAAAGGGCAGCCGACTGAAGTGCCTCGGTCGCCTTCGTGTCCTCTTCATTCTGAGTTCCTTGTAGAGCAAAGGGAACACTGGGAAACCTAGTCATAGAATCTAGATAGCCTTATCACAGGTAGTCTGTATCTGGGACCCCTAATTTAGCTACTTCATGGCCAAAAGTACACCTAGGTGCCGCATCTCCGGAGCCTAACCCGCTTGGCTCGCAACATTCGCAGCTTTTGGCGGCCGAGGCTCATGGCCTTTTCGGGCTTCTTCTTTGGTTCTTGCGTGGGAGACAAAGACTTAGGGAGCAACAATTGTTCCAGGGGCGGGGTTACGTTTTGGGAGAACTTTTTCTTGCAACAGGCAACTGCAGACTCTCTCGGGCGGGAACCTACTGAAGACCCACCCCAACGTATGGAATAGTGATGCCCGCAAATAGCCACTTTGATGCTCAAGCCAAGCGTATCAGCGATTCTGGTGCTTTGTGTACAGGGAGGTTCCGAGGAGAAGCGCGGCACGGCTGTCCACGGCAGAATCCTGGCTATCAGCATGATTTGCTGTAGGGCTGCCAGTATATACATAGCGGCATGGCTCTTGACCCATGACCTATTCGGCGGTTACTCGACAACACTTGGGCTATTGCTTCGACGTGACGTCCTGATGCGTTTTGGTCATTATGACAGAGAGCCTTCCGGGTGTCCGTGTCTGCAAGTTAAAATCAAGATATCCTCACCTGAATTCTCAACCCCATGTAAACCCTGAGGTCAGGAGTTGGAGTAGCTCGGGACCTTTTGAGCACTTGGCCTCAGTGCCGTGAGGGTGGCTTCTGAGAAGCAGATCTGATCGAACGGTCGATTTTCTGCACAGTTTGAACCATGTGATTCTTCCAGCTCTGCAGCGCCCCTAGAAATGTCATGGCAGCAATAACAAGGTTGTCCCCGTGATGTCCTTAATACTCTGTGACCCTCAACACCCTTTAACCATGAAGTCCTGGTAGAACGCTGAGAACATCAATCCCTAAAGCTCTAGGACACCAAACCCTGAAAACCTAACTTGACATTTGCACCTACTATAGTTGAAATCAGGAATTCATCCGAGATTTCGTGGCGATGTCGCAGCCTGTTGTGCTCACAGATCTGTCCGAGACACAGCTGCAACTGAGGATGGTCAAGCCACCCATTGTTTCTGGCACCCTACCACAATCCACCGGATCCTACCCTTTTGTCGGGTCCATCTTGTTTGAAGCGTTTACATGGGATTATGCAATCGAGATAGGTCATGGTAGCTTAAGCTAGGCTCGAAACTCCATGCGCCAAGTTCGAAGTTGGGCTTTCGGGGTTCGGATCGTCTTCAACCGTGAGGTGTGGGTTGTGGCTTAAACTCTATGGCCTGTTGTCGCGTCGTGAAGTGACAGGGTTCGCGGTGTATGTTTATAGTTGATACTCGTATATTTCTTGGCGAAAGGCCAGATCTCCGTGTGTCTCATTGTACATACAACCGCCCTAAAATGTTGCCTTCACCTCGCAAGCCTTACATGGTCGTCTGAGTGTCGACAATGCCTGTCTAAGGACCACTGGTAGTGCAGTCTAGAGTTCGGTGTGGGTGCACAGATCTTATTGCTAAGTGGGATTATGGGAAACTGGAGGCCACGCAAGCTTCCAGGTGCCAAACACCAAGTGAGTTAACTGAGGAGGAGGATTGGCCCTGCTTGGCGAAGTGGAGTATCGACCACCTGCTGTCTGCTGCCGGGCGCACCGAGGTCTCCGTGAATGTGTGCCGAGGCTGAACCCCAATCCCAAGCACTGCGACTCAGAACTTCACCTTGCTAGTCCCAGACGGAGACGAGGACGCGAAGCCCTGCACCCATCTGAACCCTCTAACGGCTCCTAACGAAAAATCCAGAACCCTGATCCCCAGGAAATATCAAATCACGAAGCAACGTACCAGCGGCCATGGGGATCTGGACCCGCTAGGCCAGAGGCTCCAATATCCCTCAACTAAAGAAAATACCTTAAATCATATTAGGGATCCTACAATAATTTAAGGTTTCTTCCTTAACTAAGGGATATCGGAGTCTCTAGGAGCCTGAGCTTTTTTAGTCTTGGTCCCATGCGACTGGTCTTGCAGGCTGAACCTGATGAAGAGAATGCTGTTCACAAACTTAAAGATTCGTACGATACATACATACATATGTAGACTTGCAAAAACTTAAAATCCGGAAGCCTAGACCTCAGAAGATTGGAAAAGGGACGTTCAAAAAAAGCAAAACCCTCTATCCTGGACCCTCCTTGTACCCTCAAATAGGGGTATATGGTCCCAAATAAGGGGCATGTAGGGTCTAAGAGAGGGTAGATGGAGGGTCTAGGATCCTGGCCTAGGACGTCCAACGGCCGCGCCGACTCCGTCGACTCCGAGGGTCGCTTTGTACAACCCCTGGAGGCAAATCTGGCGGGCGGGCGGCGGGTGGGGTTTCTATCGGGGTGTATGACGATATGATAGTACACCATGTAAATATGCATATATAGTTACTTTTTTTCTATGATAGTACACCATGTAAATATACATATAGTTACTTTTTTTATGATAGTACACCATATAAACATAGATATAAACTTACATTATTTATTTGCATCTATGTGTTGATGCAGTTGAACTAGTATTCCATTCCTTTTGGTTTGTTACCGTTTAGGGTTTCGAGGTGTGGGAATTGCAGGGCTCGGGACTATGTCTGCGGGCATTCGAGGTTCAGGATTTAGGACCCAGCGTACTGAGTCCATTGGCAAAAGGACCCGGCATATTTAAAGGATCTCAGGTATTGGACAGTTTGGGACACGCATCTTTCAGATTCTCGTCTGAATGTTTCGTGCACAAACCACGTTTTAGGATGCAGCACCTCAGCTCTAGCGACTTCTCAAAGCCAGAGCTCCGGACGGCAGTTTGATTTTGGGACTTCCCCCGCTGGCCCTTCTTGGCTCTCTTCAAGGCCTGCAAAAGCCACTGAAACCCAGAAACAATGGAAAAAACTAGCTATCAGTTTAGTACATATATTCTACACTGTTTCTTTTTATTTGCTCCGGCTTTCCTTTGCAAAGGCGCAGGAAGGAGCCCGCTCTCAGGAGCATATGCTCTTCGAGAAGTTCCTTCAGCATCTCCGAAAGCGGGACACCGCTGATGTCATGTACCTCTCCAGGCGGGCATAACAGTAATAGTGACAATACTAGACATTAATAATAATAATAATGATAATAACAATGGTACTAAATGAACAACACCAACATCAATAAACCATGAGAATAGCCATAATATTAAAGTTAAAGCTAATATAGGTTGGGGGCTTGCCGTGTTACCGGGTTCTGGGTATGTGGAGGTTGTGTTGCGATGGATTGTGATCAGATTGGGACACACTTTTCCCGAGAACCCGTTATCCATATCCTGATATCCGAGCCTATTAGCCT